TTTGCTGTGGAGGGACGGCGTGGTGCTTCTGCCTAGAGCGCCATTTTGCTGGAACGCTCCCCTAATGGCAGCATTTTGCAAAACTATAGTACACTATTACAACCAAAATCTTTACATTGATATCTTATTCATATTTTCCTGTTTCAGTTGCATTCATTAGGGTGTGTGTGTGTGTGTGTGTGTGTGTAGTGCTATACAATTTTATCACATCTGTAGGTTTGTATATCCAACACCATAATCAAGAAACAGAACTGTTCCGTCACCACAAGAATCTCTTGTGTTGCTCTTTTATAGCAACCTCTTCCCCCTTGCCCAGCCCCTGGGGATCATTAAACAGTTCTACATTCCTAATTTTTTTTTTTTTTATTTCAAGCATGCTATATAAATGAAATCATAAAGTATGTAACATTCTGGGATTAGCTTTTTTTCATTCAGTTTAATTTCCTAGAGATTTATCCAAATTATTATGTGTACCAATAGTTCATTTCATTTTACTGCTGAGTAGTATTCAATGATATGGATATATCATAGTTCATTTAACCATTCATTTGTTAAGACATCAGGATTGTTTCTATTTTTTTGGCAATTATGAAAAAAGTTACTATGAATATTTTTATACCATTTTTTTGTGGACATATATTTTCATTTATCTGAGATAAACTCCCAGGAGCAATTGCTGGTCATATCATGAGTTGGAATTGACTCTGTGGTAACTGGTTTTAAGGCCCTTGGGTGACACAAATAGTTTTCAATCTACTACTAACCTAAAGGTTTGTTATTCAAACCCATCCAGCTGAGCCTTGGATGAAAGTCCTGGTGATCTGTTTCCATAAAGATTACAGCCAAGAAAACCCTATGGAGCAGTTTTACTCTGAAAAATATAAATGTATGGGTTTGCCATGAGTCAGAATGGACTAGACAGCTACAAGTTACACAAAATGGCAGCACAGAGAGTTGTTAATCAGACAGTGTAAAGCCAAGCTGTGTAAAAGCAAAACAAAACAACTAATTTGCCTTTGCTTCTAGCATCAGGGATACACGTATGATTGGATGGGAGAAACAAGTTGAAGATTTATAAAGGTTCCACTCCTGCCATTTTATCTCTGTGAGAGGTGAGGCAAATCTACTGTGCTCTTCAGGTTGTTTTTCTTTAGTTTAGTTTATGGTTTCTTACTACATTTATTGTTTGCTTCTTTTTGGTCATGACCATTCATTCATTCATTCATTTATTTATTCATTCATTAAGTATACATATATTTTGAGCCTACAATGTTATTACTGGGTTAACACTGGGTTAATTTCTGGCTATTTTCTTAAGGTTCTTTTTCAGAATCATTATTGGTGAAAACACCCTGATTGCACACAGTCTGGTAGTTCAGTGTGCCCAGAAAAGGTGGAAAATAATTTTAAGGATACTACTTATAGCTAGGTTTGGGGATGTTATCTATATTTTGAGGTAATTATCTTGGATCGCAAACCAGTATACATACTCTTAGTCATAGTCTTACAAACAATGAGAAGAAAGTGTGTATTAGATTTTTTTTTTTGATTCAAGAAAATGGATATAATTAAATATAATTTTACATCTCTTTGGTCAACCTAAATAAATCTTAATCCAGATGAATTTTTCATTTAATCTCTTAACTCAAGAATTAAGAAAAATCCCACGTGGTTTATAAACAAAAAATACAACTGGGAGGCAGCAAGCAAGATGTTAGTGATTTTTTTTCCTAATAATATTCTCTCTTTTACAAATGTAAATCCATGACAGTAAAAGCTTTGTCTCCATTGACCTGGAAGTTATACAACTGAAAGAGTTGTAAAGCATTTCTCATTAACCAGTATATCATTTTCCTTCTAGAGTAAACCATCACAGTTACTTTTGATTTCCTTCAATTATATTATTTTAATCCAATTATTCTCCGTATCATGAATATATTTTCTTATTTCCTTTGAGCTATAATATGAAACTACCTGCAGGTATCGAGTAAAGACTTGACCTGTGAAGGACAGAAATGACATGATCCTGATGATAGCTTCTTATTTATATAACATGGAATTCACCTGAAGCCTCATGAAAAAAAGCAGTAGGATCGGGGCACTTGTCTACAAGTCACCTATTTTGATGCATAAATAACAAAATGGTTGGTGTAGGCTTTTAGCATGCCCAGTCAGCAGGCTTATATTAACCTTGTGGTCAAAGATGATAATACTTATTAGTCTTCTGAGACCAGCAAGTTATTTCCTATTTTCTCTTCAGTAGTTTTTGCTCTCTAGATAAAGGTGCAGACTGTTAATCCATAGAAATTTGTAGTTGTCAAGGATTTCATTTAATGTGAATCAGTAATCAGCACCTATGTAAGCAGCATCAAGAAACTAAACGACGTATTGCATTGGGCAAATCTGCTGCAAAAGACCTCTTTAAAATGTTAAAAAGCAAATACATCACTTTGATGAATAAGGTGTGCCTGACCCATGCCATAGTATTTTCAATTGCCTCATATGCATGCGAAAGCTGGACAATGAAAAAGGAAGACAGAAAAAGAACTGATGCATTTGAGTTATGATGTTGGTGAAGAATACTGGACTGCCAGAAGAACTAACAAATCTGTCTTAGAAGAAGTACAAGCAGAATGCTCTTTAGAAGCTGGGATGGCAAGACTTTGACATGCTTACTTTGGACATGTTATCAGGAGGGACAAGTCCCTGGAGAGGGACATCATGCTTGGCAAAGTAGAAGGTCAGCGAAAAAGAGGAAGACCCTCAACAAGGTGGATTGACATAGGCTGCAACAGTGGTCTCAAACACAGCCATGATTGCGAGAATGCCACAGGACCGGGCAATGTTTCATTCTGTTATGCATAAGGTCGCTATGAATCAGAACTGACTCGAAGGCACCTAACAACAACAGACAATTAGAAAGGACTTTAGTGATAAGATAGCTGAATGTCCCCATTTTAGAGATGAAAAAATCAAGGTCCAGAGAGGCTTAAAACTGTATTTCAACTGTTATAAAACACAGATCGTTTTTTCACATATAGACATCTCTGAAGACAGGATGTTTCTTATAATTGATTAGCATCTTACAATGGCTATTGGTTGGCTAGGCAGCAATTGGATGTGGTTGACTCATATGCATGAATTTGGTTGTTATTAGACAACTGCATGAACTTGATGGCATGACTGGACAACTTTAACTTCACATTTCAGTGAATAAACCAATTAAGGATCATTTGAGTAAAGCATATATCCTGGTTGTGGTCCAAAAACTTGAGTTAGTACCTTCTGGTAAGATATAGAATGTATAAGCATTAAAATTCGTTGAATGGATGTTAATGGCTTGGAAGAAAATCCTGGATTTAATAGTGAAGCATTCTTTTAAGAAAAGTTGTAGCACCAATGCCAGGATGGCACAGAGGATGATAATGTTTGGGAAACTATGCACATCACCTACTTTTGGTCAAAAATTGATTCAAAGGAGCCAACTCTGACTCTCTCATGTTCTTGTTTTTCTATACATATAGCATTGATATATGAAAAATCTGTCTAAATAAATCTAAAAGAACTCCTTTAAAACACATTAAAAAAAATTCTAAGTGATAACCAACATTATGGCATAGTTTGAAAAACTTTCTTAGTGTAATGTAAAATAATGATAGGTCTTATTATCAATGGCATCTTAGTTGAATGAAATAACAGTATTTAATAGTTGAGGAAGGATTAGAATTTGACACTTCTGACTCACAATTCAATACCCTTTCTCCTAAAAAGTTATGGATTTAATCAGTTCTGGCTCATTCTTACATCTTTAGCTGTTTTCCTATAAGTTATTATCCACTCATACTCTCACTGAAGTTAAAAAACAAAATATTCCAGTTTTGATGAAGAAATCTAATCTTTATTTCTACGATGTTAGCACAATATACTCACACAATAGCTTTGATCTCTACTTAACAAAATACATTTATAGCACTTTACAAACTTTTTCAGTTGGAAACATTGCATAACATTTTATTAAACACAATACTTTATATATATTAGATATATATTCATCATTTTATTTACTTTAAAAAGATAATTAACTCTCTTTATTCGATACTTTGTTTTTATCAATAAAGCACAGCCTAACAAAGGAAGAGGTGCTCCCATTAGCAAATACAATAAATAAGACACTAAGAAGAGATACCACCTGTTAGTCTGATTTATTTCAAATTAAGGTACCAGTGGAATGTAAACAAATATTTTTTTTCTGTATTTTTTTTTCTTTTTTTTACAAAAGATGTGTTATCAAATATACATGCAGAGGTCTGAGTTCTAGTGACTATCGTTATTTTTCCTTAACAATGTGGTACAATTTGTTAAGTCATTAAAAACTGTAGCCTTTGGCACTTTGAATAGAAAAAGAATATATCATTATTTATGTAAAGAAAAAAAAACTTCAGTGACTAGAGAAGTGCTTTAAAATCCTTTGTTAAGAAATAGGAAAGATTAGGAAACATCATACGGCACCTCAAATGCTGCAGCTTTTTTTTTTTTTTTCTTCAGAGTACTAAAACCAGGCCACCTTTACCTCTTTGTAAACTGGCCAAAGCCAGCAGGAGTATCGTGATGGTGGTGGTGGTGAGAAGTGGGGAAGGCATTATTTTACTCCCACTCCCCTCTCTGAGAAGGAAATTGCTAGAAGGGATACGGTTGAGTTTGTTTTATTGCCAGAGTTTTCAATTTTGCTGGTTGTAGCTCAATCCCTCATGCTTTGCAAGGTAGGTTTCTCTATGAAAGTTCTGCCTTTTCCTGTAGAAGCTGATAATGACAAAATACTATTCCTCTCTAAACAACTCCTGTTCTTATTGAAAACTGAACTAAGATCAGATCAACCAGCCCTATTGTTGCTTTTTATCCCCTCAGCAAGTGTATATTAGAATTCTTAAGAAATGGTGTAGAAAAGATGTAATACCAAATTTCAAGGATTAAATAGTTCTTCATACTACTTAAAATATCATGTAAATTTTTAAATTAGAGAACACTTCAAAGTGTTTTCTTTTTATCCTCTTCTTATTGATAGTATTGTTTTCGTCTGATTTAGGCTCAAGGCTTCATTCAGGATAGGTAGCAAAAACTGTTGTTGTTTTGCATTTTAAGCACTAAAACTGTACCTATTTAGATGTTTTGAAGAAATACCTTCTTAACTTACAATGTGAGATACTTTTACTTACCAATTTGCATTTTTCCAGATTCTTTTTGTTGATGTCTAACTAACAAAACTATTTCAGGGAAGAGAGTAAAACCCAACTATGGTGGCTCTAATTTACTGGTTATCAGGATACCAGAAATAGTTTAACGATCTGGAACCAAATGAAATTTTTGGATTACTTGTTAAACTAGCAACCTAAGCCAGCTAGTCGGTGCCATCCAAGGGTAGACTTGACCAACAGTATTCACATTGTAACCCCAAATGACAAGTTTTGGGTTAAATTTTTTTGTTTATAAATTCACAGCAGTATATTTTGCTCAAGGAATGTCATCTGTTATCTTTGTTTTTATAATAGAAGAACATATCTATAACATCAAAAAAATTTAAAAATCCATAAATAAGGAAGCCATAAAATGCAAAATATGATCACAACAATTTTATAAGACTCTCTAAAACAATATATTTTTTAATTTATGCAAATTTACTCACTAAAAAACATTCTTCATTAGCAGTACCTATACTTAAATAAAAAGTAAGCAGCAGAAAAACTATGCAGAGAAATACTAGTTATTCCCTTTCACTGACAATATCCCTATGCAATTTTTCTTGTTGAAGAAAGTATACTTTTGAAGAAATGCACAAAACTTTTTCAATTTTTGACTGTGACAGTCACTATGGAGAAGATGCTGTGTGTGCTATTCTAACACAAAGCAGCTGGCATCTTCTTAATAAAGTAGCATTTCTTTGACAAGGAATTGCACGCCACTATTTCACAGCTAAATAGAATATAAGAGTTTACGTTGTATATGTACTATAATAATCAGCACCACTCGATATTGAGCTTTAGGTGCAGATTCTCCAAAATGAATATATAATACTGCATGGCCTCTGCTGTAGGGAAAACACGTGTGTTCTTGATTCCCACAGGTAATTAGAAAAATCCCCAAAGTTGGCACATTCAGGAAGTAAAATAGTATACATTGAAGGAAACCACTTTCTTTTGATACCGCCCTCTGCAAAACCTTTTGTGTTTGAAGAAGACAGGTCTTAAAACTCTTCACATAATCACATTAGTTAGGTTCTTGCATTGTGCTTTCCCTCCCCCTTGTTGTGAAATCTACAAGCTTCAGTGTAGCAGTTCTCAAAAGTTCTAGAGTTCCAGGCTCATGGTGGGTAATCTAGTTTGGTGAAAAGGCTTCCCAAATGCTGGAGCAGAGCACAGGTAGAATCAACAGGTGGTCTTTGGGGGGTTGACCAAATTATTGGATGGCCATCACTCAATCCTTATAAGCCCGTGTAGGGGAGGTTCCTTTGTAGAAGATGTTTCTTGTGTTCTCAGGGCTGTTGCTTCTTTCAGGGATTAAAATGATATTTCCCTTTCTTCTCAGGGTGGAGTCACGGGAAGAAGAAACAGACAACGTCTCTGAACCAACTTCACTGCCCTCTACTGGGGTCACGCGGATGGTGGTGATGCCATGGTGATGGTGCTCATTATTATCAATGTTGCTTCTCTTGCGGTCTCCAGAACCAAAACTGTCTTTTAGGGACTCACAGCTTTCCGAGTCCCTGTTGAGATCGTTGAGCTCATAAGTCTGGCGAAGGCTGCCTTTCTCAGGGGCCTTCCATTTCCAGGAGCCGCTGCCTTCACCTTCCGTGGACGGGATCTGGATAATGGGCCTGTTGTTCTCCGGGTGAGCCTCAACCCTCACGATCCCACTGGGCTCGTGGTCTGTCAAGGTTTTGTAGCGAATGGAGCCAGTGCAAGAGACCGTGCTGCCTTCGGTGTTCTTGGGGCTGCTCTGGAGAACGCCCTGCTGCTTGGACATGGCTATTACTTGCATGATTCGGGGCTGGCTGTTGCTTCTGTTACAGGCCACAGTCTTCTCAGCAGCTTTCAACCACTTGGCCCGAGCAGAGCTGCTTTTGGGGGAGGTACTTAAGTTTTCCTGGGTCTCCTCGGGGATGTGCACCAACTGTGAGGACCCGGGGCGGGACTGAATGGACACTCTCGGACCTCCAGGCATGCTGTTGTTACACCCGGGGACGGTGCCAGGCTGGATCTTGAGGTACTGATTGCCAGGACCATGGTGATCTCCATTCACCCCTACCCTCGATGGCTCTGAGCTTGACCTCATTTCTATGGATCTCGGTGGTGAATGTCCAGGCTCATTCTCCATTACTTGCAGGGACAACTTCCGGCTTTCGTTTTTATTCTTCCACTGGGTGAGAAGCTGCTTTGATCGAGCAGAATCCATAGAGGCATGAATAGTTGCATTTCTTCTAACAGGGTCTTCTATCGATGGGGTGTTGGCCCTAGGCAGGGTATTGCTGAAGGTAACCATGTTCTCCTTCCCCATGGGGCTTCGCGGAGTGATGATCTCTACGTCAGCATTTGCCCTTTTGAGGTTTGTCAGCGAGCTAGCATCTCGATGGTTTCGGTTAAGGATGCCTTCTGTGTGAGCAATTCCATCACTGCTGCTACCATTTTTAGCAGATAAAACTCGGTTTGGGTCTTGATTAAGATCAGTCAGAGACCTGAGGGCTTCTCTGTGTTGAAACATAGTCTCTTCACTTGGCAGAAAGTTCCCCACAGCATACAGGCCCTAGTGTCCAAGAGAAAACAATAAATCAGCCCCAGAAAATATGCTTACTAATGGTTTCCCCTAGAATACCCGCTAAAGTACATAAATAAGGTATGTAGTCTGTATGACCCCATTATATACAAGTAACAGAAAACCAAAACTACAACTAATTATTACCCTGCAAATAGTTTATAGGTTATATCATAAATCACTGAACTAATGGTTCAGAAACGTGAAATCCATTACTTTTATTATTAATTGGGTTTGTCTTCCCTTTCTCCACTCACTGAATATTTTTGCAAATCCTTTCCTGTGTATGTTTTGAGGAGAAAAGTCGGACAATGAGAGAAAAAGCGACATTCTTCTGCTTTTCAAAGTAATTCATGCTTCTGGTTTTAAGAACTTCTTGTTGAGTGACACCTCAAGTGGCTTAAATGATTTACCTTTCATTTTTAAACAAACCTCACGATGGAAAGCAGAAAAGGTGTAGAAAATATAGAACAATGGATTATCCAAAAAACCTGATACCAGGTTTTGAAGTGAGGCCAGAGACACAAATTGTTACAATTCAACTGAGTACACCCTTATGTGTCAGCATTCTATAGAGTGCTCTCGGAAGGAAGGGCAGAGTCCGCCACTAGATCGGGGCACTTCCATTCTTTCCTAGTTTAAACTTGGTTTTAAATTGGGAAATAATATTTGATCAATTTAGTGCTATTACAAAAAAAACTGACCTAAATTTTATTTAATCTTGTCTTCATAGCCAGATTATCAATATTTTGTTTATTTTACATACTGGGAGCAAAAATTTGGAAAAGGCTAAAATTCAGATTCAGAATTTTTACCCCTTTTACACATGGAAGATCTAATCCCACCTGGATTTTCAGTTTTTGAGATGCTTAGTTTGGAGATACAGTCAAGCAAAAGATGCTTATTTGTGTGCTAATTTCAGTAGAATATAGCCACCAGGTGTTTTTCCAGTTAAAATAAAGAAGTTCCATCGATTTTTTTTGTAGCGCACTTTCCAATAAACAAGAGCCTTGGCTTAGAACTGATAAATTTCCAATTTCAGAGCACTGAATACAGGTAGGAATGAAATAAAGACAAGCTCCTATCTCTCCAACTATAATTTCTGGTGGTAATCTCTTAAATAATGTCTGCCTGTTTTCACTACTAGAGTTCACCAGGATGAGCAGTCTCTACCCAATGTTATATTAAAAATTAGAGTTAAATTTGTAAGTTTTGGAAAATCCTTCACTAGATTATAAGCTCTGTCTGCATTGTTCATCACTAAACTAGTCGTTCAATCCTTGCTACGATATGAGGCACAACTGGAAGGAGAGTTGACCTTCAAGTTCAAATCCTTTGTACTACCAAGCTCATGCTATTTCTAGGACACAGTGAAAAATCACACATGCAAACACATGAACTATACAACAACAGTTCTCAGTCCTCTTTTCTTCTGTGACACATATTGCCAATTAACACTCCATGGGCAACCTGGGGTTATGCACCATTCCTGACACATTAACTTTAGTTTGACTCATTTCTCCTCCACAGAAGAAAACACGTAAGGAAGAGTGAGATTTAATGTGACTACTCTATGTTAATTTGTAGAAATGAAAAAGTAAATCATTGCATGTTGAGTATTTTATTATTTTTTTGAAATAATGTTCTTGTGATACCTTTCACAAGTGCACCAAGTTCTCGTGGCTGAGAACTGCTGCTATAGACAAGTATTTCTCTGTCAGCTTCTTCTCAGTTTCCTTCATTATTGCCTTTTTCCCTGCACGCTGCTTACATATTGGTGTTCCCTGGCTCTTTTTTATTCTCATGATATGGCAATTTTAGGTACCCCCATAAGTACAATAATGCTTCTACTGATAATGTTGATTCTCAAATCTATTTCTCCAGCACTGATTGCTCTTTTGAGCTCCAGATTCAATTCTTCAACATAAATACATAAATACTGAAAATGTTACTTAAAACTGCCTATTGGTCATCTTCCCTTAAATGTTTCAATTGAGCTTTTCAATCTGATCCTTAACCTCAATGACCTGCTTGCTCTATCCTGTACGTGGTTGTCTAATGAAGTCACCATCTACATAGGCTTCTAAGCTAGAAATCTAGCCATCATCCTTCATTTCTCCTGTTCCCTCACCCTCCACATGTACTTGCTCTTTCACATGCCCCTATCTCTACAGATGCAGCTTCTTTTGCTTGAATGCCCTTCCTCCTTTCTTTATTCTGAGAAACTCTCATTTTTTAAAAAACATACCACTTTTATGAAGACTTCTCTAACTTCTCTAGGGAGTGTGCTGATTCCCAAAGCTCTTTGCTCACACCCTATTACATCATTTTGCATATTGTAACTATTTATACTTATGTTAGTCTTTAGATACATAAACTTTTCAAGGATACATCTTATTTCTCACTGTTCTGTGCTTAGTATAGTGCCTGGCACATATTAGATATTAAATAAATGTAAAATTAATGAATAAATGCACAAATGAATGAAATGGACAAGCTGTGTTTCCTTGGACTGAGGGTATTTCTCTTGGAGGGAGGTTGGATTTAAAAATAGAGTACTGTTAATGAACTCAATATAAGTTAGCTCATAGTTATATCCAGGTGCTATGTTTGTGTTGTTGGGCAAGCAGTATAACCTTTCTCATATTTCACTTTCCTCATCTGTAAAATAATACTAGCAATAATAGTTCCTACCTCCTTTTTGTTGTTGTTGTTATAAGGATAAAATGAGATGATCCTTCTAAAATCACAGTTTCTGGCACATCCTGTTACCCTGTTGCCGTCGTCAATTCCGACTCATAGCAACCCTATAGGACAGAGTAAAACTGCCCCATAGAGTTTCCAAGGAGCACCTGGTGGATTCGCTAACCAAAGGTTAGCAGCCATAGCTCTTAACCACTACACCACCAGGGTTTCCTTCTGGCACATAGTAAGAGTTTAATAAATTGTATTGTTGAAAGTGTGATATGTGTTTTGGCTTAGTATGAAGATGCAGCCAGAGGTTTTCCTCATGATAATAACAAATTATTATGATGCAAAATATTCCATGTATATTTTTCATTTTAAATTGTGGTTTATCAAATACTAATAATAAATTACTTACCAAGTACAGGGCAATTCCTCCTCCTATTAAAAAGCCACAATAGACATCAACTGGGTGGTTCTTATACTGGGTTATCCGTGTTAGTCCACAGATGATCCCACAGATGATAAATGTAAAGACCAAGAGGGGTTTCAGAAGCTTAGAGGAATCCGTTAATGTGGAGTTGAAGTACATCTTAAAAATGAAAGACATGGGTTAAGCCTGCTACAAAAACTTTTATGTTAAATTATAATCAAATAAAAGATAGACTCAAAAGCTCAGCTGATTCACTCAACATCAATACTACTGTTTTACTCTCCCTGCTATGGCTCTGTTCTACCTGTAGAAAAGGGAGACACATGTTGAAATCATCAAACAAATAAAAGATCTTTCATTTAATTCCTTGAAAATTTGAAGAAAAAAACCCCGAAGCAATAGAATTAGTCAAATATCTGTTTAGTCTCCATGTTACTTTCCACATACTTTTAGTTGTTTTTTTCTCACAAAAGACTTCATGAACTATTGTATTAATCAGCTACATTTATCAAATTTACACTGGTTTAGAACTAACCATTGTTACATAAATACTGAAAGTAAAATGTGTGTGTACTTAATGCAGTTCTTTCAGTTTTAGTAAGTGTAATACCTGTAGTTAATAACACCCTCCCATGAAGTATAATATTACATTGCAGGGGTACCAAGCTAAATAAATATTATTACACTGTGAAGAAATTCTTTTACTGTACTCTTTTTTATAGAATCATATTTCTTCTTTCAATGCTATTGTATTAAAAGACTGCAGTGCTAGAGTTTACTGTTCTGTTATCCACAGCCATATAATCTAGTCACCTGGAGACAACACTTATTCCTCTGATTTTCTGTAAGACACAGCTTAACGAGAAAGATCAGTCACTTACCGAAACATACACAGCTGCAAACGCCGCAAGGGTCGCGTGTTGCGAAGGAAATGACTTTCTGCCAAAGAAATACAGTCAAATTATGGCTTTTAATTCAGATATACACTAGCAATCATCTGAAGAACACTGACTGGTTAAAATGTTCAACTTAAAAGCCACAAGGCAACAAGGAATAACTTTAATCCTCATTTCGTTTTCTGGGGAAAGACCTGGGTGATAAAATAAATATTGCTACTTACCTTTAGTATTAAAGAGTAATGGAGTTTCACTTTCGAACATAAATACCTGTGCCAGGTTGGTAAGGGACCACTTCTTTACCCCACTGAAATGATGGTTAAAAGTAGAAACTGATTGGAAAACATTATAATTGTTCTTACATATTAGAATTATTTTCAGTTTAAAGTAAATTTGAAAACCTTGGTGTTTTAAAGCTTTTAAGCTTTTTCTATGCCTCTAAATATATGGTTTTGCTTACATAAAATTTTTAAAAGACAAAATTATTTTGTCACAGCAGTAGATCTAAATGTGTGTTTATTTTTTGTTGTTGTTTTTTTTAATACAAAGAAAGCATGGGAAGTCCAAATTTAGCAAAATGTTTCTCTGTGTATTACACTTTGGAAATTATTATCATGTCAAGAATGATAGAGCATTTTATTTAGTTAAATAATTGAAGGAAGATGGTTGGGAGATAGAACACTGGATAGTGGGAGAGACACTTAAAAGGACAGACAAAAGAAAAAGAATAGAGATTTCTTTCAGTGGATAGGAAAATCTTGGAAAAAATAAAATCGAGAGTTATATTAATGCCCCCCCCCCCCAATTACTTGGTAGAGACCCTGGTGGTGTAGTGGTTAAGAGCTACAGCTCCTTACCAAGAGGTTGGCAGTTCAAATCCACCAGGTGCTCCTTGGAAACCCTATTGAGCAGTTCTACTCTGTCCTATAGAGTTGCTATGAGTCGGAATTGCCTCAGTGGCAATGGGTTTTTTTTAATTACTTGGTACCACATTACAGAGGATAACTATTCCACACAGACAAGATAATGTACAAGGATAAAGAAAGAATAGAAGACATAGGTCTTGAATGTAAGTTTAAAATTATTGAATGGTCCCTGAGAACCTGAATGCATACAATAACATAGTATCAGTCACTAGTTTCTCAAGTGTACATATTAACTTATTTTTGACTCTTAAATTAATCTTTGGGAACACACTGAATGACAAACTCATCTTAAAATCAGTCATTACTCCTCACCCCTCTGTAGTTTATCTCTTTTGAACTTCTAAGCTACCACCTCTTGCCACACAAGTTTATTTTTACTTTGTTGATTGAAAAAAATGATGCATTGGTAGTTTTTTTTTTTTTTTTCTTCAGTTTTTCAGTCCCTTGTTTTCTGAAATGCAAGGCCAGGAGCTATAAAGATATTCCATGTTCATTTAAAAAAATATATAAAATCCCAGATGTTACCACTTCTCAAAATCTACAAAAATTCACACGATTCTTTCGATAAAGCATATGTCAGAGATGTAAATATCACAGATACTTAGTCTTACAGTTAAGCCAGTGCAAGACACAACATGTCCTAAGGTGATATTAAGTGCCATAATGACAGTAAGCCATCACTGACTGTAAATATCTTAAAATAAACCTATGAGGTAAATCTGAAACTAAAAGAAGTATAGGGCGGATCGCAAAACATGAGCGGGCACTGGTGGTATGAGGACTGGTAACAAGAGTTGAGGCTGAAATTTGGAGACAGAGAGAAGGATTTAGAAGGAGCCACCAATGGGTTTCTATGGTACAATCACTAAAGAGATGACTGAATTGAGAAGAAAAATAACACCAAAATCATTATGACTGAAAAAGGGGTGTTTTAAGATGATACCCCAAGCAATTGTTGAACACCGGCAACGACATGGAATTTTTTTAGGTCTCAGTTTCTCACCTTCCACTGTTGATAACTGTAAGGTCAGATCCCGAGCAAATATCTTCCACAATGTAGGAATTTTCTTTGCACGATACATTCAGAGAGGTATAGTTTGGCTTGCACACAGTCAGAAAGTATGGTGCCTGATACCCTGTGGACAGTTGTATGATATCTGTAATGAGAGCTGTAGAGCACAGTCCAAATACATGAACACCTACAAGTAAAAGGAAAGAACGTGTTACAAAGTTAGTGGCTAATGCTGATGTTGAGTCATCATCAGCCATGTTTATTACACATCAACACGCCAACCTTAAAAATCTGTTAGAATCCTTTTCTCTAAGTTTATTTCAAGAAGATAGTATGACAAGTTCCTAGACTCATAAACAGATACTTAAAGACAAAAGAAGGACAATGAATATCTTCAAAGGAGTGCTTTGAGACATTTTTATCAGAGTTTGGATAGTTAGGGCTAATTCTTAATATTATTAACCATAGATCACTTGACAAACACCTGGAGCATATTAAGTTGACTGTGATTTGAGAAGGACTAAATGTGGGGAATGAAGCAAAATTCAAAATAATTTTCAATTGTTTTGTGTGTTTGAACTGCTAGGGCTCTCTCCTCCCAATTGGTACTTAACTAAGCCACAGTTGTCAAATCCTGAAGTTGTTGTTGGGTGCTGTCAAGTCGATTCCAACTCATAACAATCCCTAAAGAATCGGTTCTAATTCTGTGCAAGTTCATAGTCACAGCAGGAATGTTAATTAAAGCCAAAGAGGAGAGCAGGCAAATCCTGTCTTGGAAACAACAATTAGATCCCAGGTGCATGGCTGTGGAGCCAGCCTGCATGTTTAGAATCCTGGGATGGTGTTCACATGTCTCCTGGTCCAAATTCTATGTTTGTCTCTTGGAACCAGGCTTACACCATAAAATCACAAGCCCTGATGCATGCTAGTGCACTCAAACTCCAAAGTCCTTGCATGGCCCTACCCTTGGGAGCCCAGCTCTCTGCTCACATACACATGATCTTATACTTGCATGATCCCTCCAGGTTGCCTTAACACCCTGGATTCTGATTTGTGATTTGTTCATAGAAATCATGAGAGGCACCTGGGTAATTCTTCAGTGGATTCCTCAGACAGAGATCGCCAGCCTGCACATTACGCTGTTTTGTATTTTTCCTGCTCCCCTTATTGTCACCTAACCACTCCCCCACACCCCTTCCCTCTCCAACCACACATCTTGGATTCATGGCACAGGACTTCTATTTCCACATTCCAATCCCTGGCAGTATGCAAGGTTTGGGAGAGAAGTAGGGATAATAGGAGAAACCTACCTACTTTTACTTTTGGAGAATGAAAATCATAGCCCCAGACCCAGGAAGGATGGGGCTACTGAGTGAGAACCTCTGCGACATTGTTCTCTAGAGTATGACAGACCATCTTTCAGCCATGAGGCATTTCAGAGGTCACATGCCATCTGTCCACAGCATTTTGTTACATTAGGGAAAATTTTCTCAGAGATCAGCTACTTGCCCTCCAGTTTTATTTCCTTGCCTCAGTTTGTGACCCTGCTAAGGGGTCTGTTTTTGTTTTACCAATCTGACATGCTTTTCTTAGTGGAGCAGATTTAGACAGTCCAGGGCAGAATTTAGACCAGACTCTTTGCTTTCTTGGTAGAGAAAGTTATATTTGATTATCTAGGTATTATAAGAAGTTACTATTCCTTTGAACTAACAGGTTACAAATAAAAATAATGCTTTACTAACTATTAAGAAAGAATATAAAACATTAAGGTTGATGTGATACACTGTGACTTGTCTACTTAGCTCAGGTAAGGAAAAAAAATTCCAGGTTTGTGACTGAAGCACCATTAAGATGATCCATGCAAATCAGAAGGAATGAAAGTTTAGATAGTTTGATTAAGATTCTGGTTGTTCCAGGCATATTGATTTCCTTTGTTGTTGTTGTTAGCTGCTGATGAGTCAGCCTCAACTCATGACAACCCCCTGTACAAGGGGATCAGACCATTGTGAACCATAAGGTTTTCATTGGCTGATTTTTTGGAAGTAGATCACCAAGCCTACTTCATCTTAGTCTGGATGCTCCACTAAAACCTGTTCAGCATCATAGTCCCATGAAAGCCTCCAGTGACAGTCAAGTAGTGGCTGTGTTTGAAGTGTATTGGCCAGGAATCAAACCCAGGTCTCTTGCATGGAAGGTGAGAATTCTGCCACCGAACCTCCACTGCCCCCATTGATTTTCTATAGGTGTCCTGAAAAATGAGAGGTAAAGCCAGAGAATATAGCCAAGGAAAAAGAGCCATGGATGTAGTGTTCCACGGTGACGTTTCCATTTGCAGTAACTTCTGGATGAAAACACTCCAGGAAAATTGAAATGGAATCATTGATGTGGCTAAAGTAATTTCTGAAGAGTTACCCATTCGTATTGGCCTGCTGACATTTATTCTCCCTTTTAAAAAACTGAACATAGATTCATTGGAACTACTTTCTTTAAAGTAAATTCAAGTTTCAATCTGAGCTAAGACAAAAATATTCTTAAGTGTATGGCAAGTTAACTCTGAAAACAAGGCATGTAACTGTAAATAGCACATTTCAGATACAAAGCCCAAATTTTGGTGTTTTAACAGTTTCTTGCATAATGTAAATCTCATCATGTATTTGAAATTATACATGTAAATTATAGCTTTAAAGACTTAATATCTGTAATTAACTATAAGATTTCCATTTGGAAAAAAAAAAATCCTTTCTTTGTAATTGGTACCCCACACACACCAACGAATCTAACGGCTCTTCTAAGAAAAGAGTTGAAGTTGCAGCCTCCGGCATTAATGTTGGGCTCCAGTCCAACTCCATTTCTTCTTTTGGACAGGCAACAGTAGAGAATTCCTTCCCCTACCATAATCTGCAAAGACAAGAGGGTGTTCAGAATGAACTCATTGCTTACAAATGAATTATATGTCATCTTAACACTTCGTCAATTCAACAAGGTAAAGGTGTATTTTTCTTCAAAACTTTAAAGAAGGGTAAATCAATTTCTCTTGAGTAGTTGAGCAAGCAGTGAGAGGAAGCAATCAGGGACACTGTGAAGAGCTTTAGTTGGATATCTTGTACTGTTACGTACTGGTTAAGTGTGTGATCGTATTCTGGCATTTTAAAATGGTTGCAGCACTCAGCCTTTGGCCCTTGACCCAACAAGACCCATGACGCTTAATAGATTGATCACATGGTGATTCTGCCCTGTTAGAGCCTTGACATTTCATCCCTAAAGCCATGAAAACAAAATGACTGGGGAGAGAATAAAAAATACCAGATTTAGATCAGGAACATCTTAAAAGGAGATTAGATCAATAAACTGATTTGGGATTGAGCACAGGATCAATCAATGGAAAGCGAGTGTGAGGGTAGGAAGGTACTATTTAGATCTAGAGTGATCTGATAAAAAATTCTGCAGTGATGGAAATGTTTTCTGCCCTATCCCATTAGGTATCCACCAACCACATGTGGCTATTGAATGCAGGAAATGTAGCACTGAAACTGAGGAATTGAATTTTTAATTTTATTTCTTGGCATTTAATTAATTACTTATAATCTAAATTGATTTAAAATTAAGATTAAATAGCCACATGTGGCTAAAAACAAACCCACTACCATGGAGTTGATTCCAACTCATAGCGACCTTGTAGGACAGAATAGAACTGCCCGTAGGCTTTCCAAGGCTGTAAATCATTACAAAAGCAGACTGTCAAATCTTTCTCCCAAGGAGACTGGTGGGTTTGAACCTCTGACCTTTCAGTTAGCAGCAGAGTGCTAACATGTGCTAACAGCCCCATGTAACTAATGGCTACCATATTGGAGAATGCAGATTATGAGAGAATTCAGCAGCTAGGGTGATATTTCCTATGGTATTAGGCATTTAGAAAATCTGTTCACAATGGACAGAGAATCACACTGTAGTATCAGAAGGACTGTCTTAAAATTAGGAACAGTGCAGTTTGTTGTAAGATTCTAGGACGTAGGACAACGATCAAGAAACACAATATTTTTTTGGCATCATCTTTTTGAGGACATTTTCCATGAAGTCCCTTACTATAAGCTAAATTACGTTCCCTTCTATGTGGCTCCCTTAGCATCTTGCCCTACCCTCTAGCACGACTTTATTAAAGTGCACTTTAATTGTTCATTTGGGCGTCTCTCACTAGGCTAGGACCTCCTGAGGGAAGAACCATTTCTCATGTGCTTTTATCCTCACTATCTAGCCCTGCGCCTGGCACTGTGAGGCCATGATTACTATCTATTCTGGACATTTGAGTTGTCAGTTATTCTGTACAATAGAAGGAAGATTTGAAATATGAGTTTTAGTTATACAAACATTTTTCAAATATTTGAAAAGAGATTGTTGTGCAGTTAGGTATTGATTTGCATAAATGGGCGAAACTGAGAAAAGTAGGATTACGTGAGATATCAACAGTCTTTCAGATGCAACTGATCAAGTCACTTTAAAGATTATAATCATTTTAAGTGGCTGAAACAGACTTTATGAGAGGGAATCTTTCCTCCAGTTCTCATTACTAGCTTATATTTACTTTATGAAGTGTTTAAAATTTTAGTTTTTTTTTTTTTTTTTTAACTAGTGACAGTAAGAATATGGTCTTCTGCTTCATACTACTAGGCACGGTGAGAACTAAATCTGTATTTAGTTATGTAGATAATATGATGTGTGTACAATTATCAAACATTTTAAATCTGCAAAACAAATAAAAAATCATTCTCTTCAATGGGACTGTATGGATAACCCTGTGTGAAAATCATGCGACATGCATGATAAACTAAGGTCTACCATTGTAGAAAGAATCTAAAAGAATTTTTTACATATCATTGAACTTTGAATTGATGGAGGTGTAGTCAGTTCTGTACTCTGTGTAGATTGATGTGACATGATACCCCTGCACACAGAATAATATAGTGACTATCTAAAATTCATTATTTCAAGAAAATTAACCACTTATTCCTGAAACGGATTGTTGTATGGGTAAGATATACTAATTTGATTTTCATTTCTTCTATAATAATTCTGTGAATAATTTTGTTTTCTCTTTTCCATTTTATATATACCGACATCCTATCTTATCCACGAATGCTAAGTTATGTAAGAATTTCTTTGTACAGTTTCATTAGAGAAATATGTTTTACCATACAACACACCAGTCATTGTCTCAAATGACCTTGAGATTTCAGGAGTTTATTTGAGTTGGTTTAATAACCTCAAAACTCATGTGTTAATAGAGTGCTCTGACTCCATTTGGCTCGATTATGTAATATGGATGGAGCTTTCTTGTCAGTACTTTGACATCATCCAACCTTCTCTTTCTCTTAGGAGCATATGAATTTTCTCCTCACATTCTGATTCATTTAACCATGATCTGTATTTCATTGCATGAATTTTCAAAATGATTTCATTTGCTTTCAAGATAGAATTCTCCTAAGGGGTATGAGAGAAACTTCCTAATGTATTTCTAAATGCTCCTGCTGAATTTCTCTTTCTGAATGGCATGCTATTGTGCTGCCATGTGGTTTCAGGGTTTAAGCTTTGACAATAAGCTTATTTTTTGTTGCTGTTGTCATTTGTAAACAGAAAACAGTTTATGACAAGCATCTTCTCACAACATTCTGTTTATGCTGTACATAAGCCTGAAAAGAAATAACAATTTTTTGTGTGTGTGTCAATTATCATGGAAGAGATCATATAGTGACTCTGCTTCAGGGAAGTTGTTGAGAGGAAATACATCACTTATTATCATACGGCACTGCTCTTGGAATCATTGCCATAGGAAGAGCTCTCAGTCCAGGAGTCTTCCTCATGGAAAAACAAAACAAAACAAAACAAAACAACGCCGCCAAAAGCGTTCTGATATTCATCATAGTATCGTGAATGTTTAAATTTGCCATGGTTGTCTCTTGGAAACCCTAACGTATTTAACATTCTACATTGTGATCATATAGTCTACGAAAGATAAGGTTACTATCTAGGAATTATAATCAAATTCTGATATAATTTTCCTATAAAATTAGATGGAGTCATCCTTCAATAATATGCAATGCAATTGTATTTTCAGGAAAGGAAAAGTACACATTTTTCCTATTTATGTAATTTCCATGACAATTCATAAGAAGACCACATATTCTGCATTACTTTCTCTCAGAAATTATCTCCAAAAGACGTAAGCAAAATGCTTGTTTCACTGTTACACTAAAGTCAATGAAAATTGAATATTAAGGAAGAATTTTCCAATTTAAGAGCAATTTTAGGGAAATAAGAATATGAATTTCACAGACATGAATTTTTATGGTTTCGTATACCACAGGTATGTGAATGACAAGTTATTTTTAAAGCATCTCTCACAGCATAAAGAAAAACTGGAGAAGCAAACACTAAATGATCTGTGTAAAAAAATCACTTGATCTTTCTTTTGTTCATCTGAGGGTCCTTTTAAAGAATATTGTTGGCATGAGGTCTTTTGTATTGCTTTGTCTTCTCTCTTTGAATTGGGTGAACACAAGAAGCCCTCTCCTCGCACAAATTTATTCTAAAAGCCATTTTCCAGTGAAGGATTCTTCTCCCCAGCCCCTACCCCAACTATCCCATAGTTAATAAGTTTATGCCACCATGAAAATAAAAGAAAAACAGCATACTTGAAAGTCAGAAACTATTAGTCTATTTGTTATTTCTACTTTTAGGAAGAGAGAGAGAAAAAAAAAAAAGACAGAGAGAGAGAGTGATGTAACATATGTAGTTAAGATTAGAGATAGAATTCTAGTTTTAGAACAAGATGACTATAGAAACTAAAGGACCAGATGTTGAGAAAGTGTATGTTTTGGGAGAAGGCCTTAGAAAAAAAGAGAACATGAAATTAGGAAGAAATCCAAAATGTTTGGAGAGGAACGTGAGAAACAGTATTTCCGTATTTGATGTCAGCAAAGTCAAGATTTGTCTAACCACCAAGTTGTTTCCCAAAACCCATGAAACAGTGTGATAGAAAAGAATCCTGACGTTCTTGAGTGTTCTGGACCTTTAGGTGATAGGGGAGAAATTACAGACCCCATGGTGTAAATATCTCCCTGGTTTGCCTCTTGTTCTATTAAGAGGCATTTGGCAGCTATGGAGGCCCTGTGGAGACCCAGGAATTCAGTGGTGCTTCCGGAGCTTTTCACCTGTCAGAACCACAGGGAAAGAAGTTTATGGAAGAAGCTGAAACTGGGCACCCCGGGGCAGTGTTGTGGGAAGGGATCCACAATGGATTTCCAGTTTCATTCTCCAGGACTAAAGAAAGATTCAACTCAGAATCCTTCAGAAAGCGCCCCTAAACTGCATATGAGAATTTTTTACAGGAAGTAAGGAGTCAGAGGCAGGCGCACAGTGGTAAGGTCAAGGTCATTCTCCCCACGACAGGTTACTGTGTCACCAAAGGAAGCAAAGTCAGATAAATGCTGCTGGCCGGGGCGCCACAATTCGACCTACTGTCCTAGGAATTTGATAACATAGGGAAGAAAGACTTCTGGATATATAAAATTAGTAAAATGATTAAATATTAACAATATTTTCAGCAAAGTCATGAAAATTTTTATAGTATTTTATTCTATTTCAAGTGTATTAATAATAATAAATTCAGGCATTACACCTCAATTTAAGAGAAATGCTTTCGGGTATGATAGACTTAAAACATATATTCATTCGGCTCTTGTCAAATGATGAGATGATATGGATATTTTTGTAAGTCTTTAGAAAAATGACAGGAAAATGCTGCTATCCTGAGCAATACTGCCCTTCAAAAATATTTTATTAGTCTCAGAGTCTCAGCTACTTCCAAGTAAATCATACTTCTAATTACCTGGAGTCACTGCAGTTTGAATAACTCATTTATTTACAAAGTGTTTTGAGACCTTTTAAATATGATAAAGTTCTATGGAAAATTAAGTTCTAATTTTATCTTCTGAGAGTGTTTTCTGTAATTTATTTACAATGTAAACAAGATGCTATGATTATTTAATATAGGGGAAATTTTTAAAAATAAATCCATGGCTATACAAAAGCAGAGTTTAGAAGGTCTCTGCAAAGACTTTTATAAAACTGCTGATGTACAGAATCAGAATAAGCCAATTCATTAGGGTATCTTGTAAAATCTTTATTCAAACCTAGCTTTTAATTTAACAACCACTTCATCTGGCATTCACAACCATGATAAAAGCAAAGTAAGAGTTTCTACTGTTAAAAATAAATGTTATTAACCTTGCAACATGTTTTTAGTTGCCTTTAGGTAGTATTCTGAGTAGAAAGATGGTGGAAAGGCTTTGTTAGTCTTATTTATTAATGGATTTATCTAAAAGTGTGTTCTTTAATGCGTGTGTTAACCTAAAAACAGCTGTTTTTTATAGCGAGGTATTGCATTGGCAAATCTGCTACAAAAGACCTCTTTAAAGTGTTAAAAAGCAAAGATGTCACTTCGAGGACTAAGGTGTGCCTGACCCAAGTCATGATATTTTCAATTGCGTCATATACATGTGAAAGGTGGACAATGAATAAGGAAGACCAAAGAATTGATGCCTTTGAATTATAGTGTTAGCGAAGAATATTGAATAGACCATGGACTGCCAGAAGAACGAACAAGTCTGTCTTGGAAGAAGTATAATCAGAATGCTCCTCAGAAGCAAGGATGGTGAGACTTCATCTCACCTACTCTGGACATGTTATCAGGAGGAACAAGTCCCTGGAGAAGGACATCATGCTTGGTATAGTAAAGGGTCAGTGAAAAACAGGAAGACCCCCCAACAAGATGGACTGGCACACTGGCTGCAGCAATGCACTCAAACATAGCAACGATTGTCAGCATTATGCAGGACAAGGCGGTGTTTCGTTCTATGGTGCATGGGGTCACTGTGAGTCAGAACTGACTCGACGACACCTAAAAACAACGACAATAATGTTTTTATTCCATTTCAGTAGGCTAGGGCATTTCTTTTATATGTTACGTATTTTAAAATGCAAATGTCTTTTCTGAGTCTAAAGTATCTGACTCTGTGTGTGTGTGTGTGTGTGTGTGTGTGTACGTGTGCTTGCATGCACCTGCCAGGAATGAGAGCTCTTCCCTCTACTTTTCAATCATTGATGCTCAGTGCTCATAATCAATAAAAAGTACTGGCCTAGTTAAAAATGAAACTGTAAGTGATATTAACATGCAGTTTTGGGAAGAAAGTCTGTGGGCTGTACAATTATTTGCTTTTTTCCCAGAGATTTCCAGAATTCAGATACCAAATAAACACATTAAAAAATACATTCATTAGGAGTGGATTAGAACTGTCATGTTAGCCATTCAAGGAGAATTATGCAGTTGCAAAATCTTTTCAGAATAATTTACAAAAGTAAATATTAGTGACCCACCATTTTTGTAACCGTATAATCCTCTTTAACTTTTAATATGAATAATTTTAAACTATTCCTACATGATGCAGTCTAAATACTTCAAAGACATGATCTTTTTGGTCCAAGATTTAAAGTTCATTTATTGCTTTTTGTTTTTTTCAACCCATTTATTACACAAATGTGATCATTTTTTAGTTTTCTGGGACTGACAAGCACAATTTGGGTGCAATTCTTACCGTAATTGCTGGTCCAGCAAAAGCCAAGCTAAGCAACATGAGGAATGGGATTGCCTCCTGTGTCGGTTCAATGTACGGCATGCTAAGACTTCGGTCATAGCAGCTGAATCCAGAGTGCACAGGCTTGAAGACATCAGTGAGTTCAAGGAAATAGAGGCTAACCACTGACGATGCCAATATAGGCAACTGGGAAAGAAAGACATGGAAGCTCATTTTATCCTTATGTGGAGGGACATAAATAGAATCAGTACATCCTGAAGTACGAAACAGGAGGATTTCTCCCTTTCTCTCATTACACTTCTTTGATCCCAGAATTAAAATCATTCATAAGTATTACTGCTTATGTCTTCAAGTCACATTGCTAATTCACCCACCTCTGTCATCAACCTACTGGAAGCCCAAGCCATCCCTCATCTTTGTTTTTGAGTTGCCTTCTAACTGATACTGTACTTTCACTCTTGCTCTCCCACTCACCCATCCCTTTTATACCTAGCATCTGAGTAATCTTTTGAAAATATTTCAGATCCTATTACTGCTTGTCTTAACCATTTCTAGTAGTTTCCATTCTACTTGAATAAAATCCAAATTCGTTACGGTGCAAATCTCTGTGTAATCTGGCTCTTGCTTCAGTTGCTTACATCTTTCTTGTACAATGTTTTCACCACTCCTCAGCCCTCTGTCTACTACAATCCAATTTGTCCTCATTCTTTTCTTGTCACAGTCAAACTCATTTCTGCCTAGGGCCTTTGTATGTGCTCTTCCTTCCTCCTTTTATGTTCTACCCCTGGTTCTTTGCACTACTGGCTTCTTCTCATTATTTAACGATGACTTCCTGAACTCTCCCTCTAAGGTAGCCCCTTAATCCATCCTCCACTCTCTACCTCATTATTTTGCTTGATTTTCCACATGACACTTACCAGTAACTGAAATTATGTTTTCAATTTAATGCTTCACTTGTTCATTTTTCATCTCCCCCCATATCTTACTGAAATACATGCTCCATGAAGTGAGAGTTTGCCAGTGTTATTTACTGCTGAGTCCCTGGTGCATAGATATGTTTCTGGCACATGGCAGGCATGCAAGCCATCATTTAATAGTTTAATGGAGAAATAAATACTTGTTGATAAATGACCAAATGAATAAATAAGCTTTGATTTCTTACAATACCTTAACTAGAGTTATCAGATTTAGCAAATAGAAATACACCTCACTTAAGTTAAATTAGAATTTCATATAAACAGCAAATAATTCTTAGTAGTATCTCCAATGGAATATTTGGGATACTTTTACTAAAAAATTGTTTGTTGTTTATCTGAAATTCTAATTTAACTGTTGTTGTTATTTGCCATCAAATGGATTCTGACTCATGGCGACCGTGTGTGTGGCGATCCTCTATTTTGTCTGGAAGCCCTAAACTAGACACAGTCTACTTTCTAGATTTTGTGTTACAAATTCAATTATTCATTTATACAACCCATAATGTACCAGGCATTATATGAGGTGTTAGCTCTATCATGGTGAGCAAGACAAATGTCGGCATGGCCACCAAGGATCGTAAGGGTAATGAAAGATCTGCTTTCAATTAAAGAGAAATACTACAAGTGCATTGTCTAGTAGGCCTTTCAGAACCTGAGAATGCAGACTGATTGAAAATTGAAAGAATTGTTTAGTTGAAAGCTTTGTTACTTGTGAAGGAGTCAATATTTATTTAACCAACAGTATAGGTTTTTGATAAAGACATTCCAGACCACTAGTGATTTCTGGTTGTCTGGATTTAGAAAATAAATTCACATGGCAGCATTGTGTCTTCTAGTCCTCTGAGTTCTTTTTGTAAAGAGGTGAGAATAAGGTTTATTGGATGAGTTAATAATGTATGGTGGTTAATCTAGTCTTTTCCAGTCAGCAAAGGAGAAAACAAAAAGTATGTCAAAACACTCACATTTCTCTTATCAGAATCGGTGATCACTGGATCACCCCAGATATCTAAGCGTTTCTTCTCCCCCTCTCCTGTAGAGCAGAAATAGGAGCTTTCAGTCGAGGCCAATAAATCACCCCTTTGTGGTATATGACTGAGATTTCCACTTAAATCTATGTAAACATATTTTAGTTTTAATTTAACAAATATTTAATATAATACTCTGTGCCAGAAAATTTTCTAAGGAATTTAGAAATTTTAATTCATTTTTAATTCATTTAGCTTTAAACATTCAATTATAATATAAGATAGTATTATCCAGACACTGTTAGCAAGTGGCAGAGTTGAGGGCTGAACCCATAAATTCTAGCTCCAATGTCTTGTTTGTGAACCAGTGTTTTATGCTGCCTTTCCAAAAATGGGAATACAGTATAAGAATAAGGAAATACAACTAGCATCAACTAACTGGGGTACTGTCTAGCTCAAAATTCTGGTCAATTAAGGGTTTCTATTTGCAAACTTTTAAAAGGAGCCCTGGTGGTGCAGTGGTTAAGCGCTTGGCTGCTAACTGAAAGGTAAAGGGTTTGAACCCACTAGTCACTCTGTGGGAGAAAGACGTGGCAGTCTATTCCGTAAAGATTTCAGCCTTGGAAACCCTATGGAGCAGTTCTACTCTGTCCTATATGGTAACTATGAGTTGGAATTGACTCGACAGCGATGGGTTTTGGAATTTGCAAACTTTTAGTTACAAATATGCATAACAGTACAAATAGTACTTAAAATTATGATTTCCATTAAGTCCAGAAAATGGTTTTCATCCATTGGTTTGAATGCTAAACCTTTCATGAAGAGTGGGACATAATAGATCTCACCTACATTTTCCGCTTCTCGAGTTTATTGGTAAGGTACTGTATTACTGACAATACATGTGCAGCATTTGGGGGCGTGTATAACTTTTTGAAATGAAAGAAATAGGTGTGTGCTGCAAATTACTATTTTTACAGGGTATTGTATACAGTGGTGTTGAATCCATATTTTTTTTTTAGATAAAATATGGATTTTTTAAATTTTTATGTAGGACACCTATGTTCCTCTGGACTCAGGGTCAAATTAGGGGTATGTGTATGTCCCTCTGGACTCTGAGGGTAGGATTTTGGGGATGAGGCCAGAAAAAAATCCGTCTTACCTACCAAAAATTCAGACACACTCAATGATTTGGCATGCATCCCATTAATGAAAAAAATTATATAAACAAGAAAAATTAATTCATTCACGAAATGGTTAAATATTGCACTTTTAAACCAGATTGCATGATCCACCTTCTCCCCTCTTTTTTTTTTTTTTTTTTTTTTTGGATGTCTTCAGTTCATATTTTGGGTCTTCTACATGTATTTTGTAAGTGGGAATCAGATCTGAGATCTTCAACTCCCACCCAAGTAACATCTTATGCATTTTTAAATGCTCATGCTCAAGGGAAGTGAATTTAGTGTCTTTTGAAGAAAGCTGAACAAGATTTTATCAACATGACCAATCTGAATAGTAAAAAATTTTCCCTAATAGAGACCATTGAATTTTATGGATAATTACTTTAGAATCTGCTCAACTGTGCCAATGAATATATAGCACTTTTGAATGAAATTGCTATTCCTATAAAGTGTGTGTGTGTGTGTGTGTGTGTGTGTGTTTAAATGCAGGAAAATATTCAAAATTTACAAACTATATTCAAGGCACCGAGGGAGTTTCTAATATCAGCTTGGCCCTTTACTACTATTCGTGTGACCTTGGAAAAGTGTTTCTTAAATCTATTTTCTCATCTATGAAATGAGTATATTGATAGTATCCACTGGTGGTGCAACAGTTAAGCGCAGGGCTGCTAATCGGAAGGTTGGCGGTTCAAACTCACCCAGTGGCTCTGCAGGAGAAAGACGTGGTGATCTGCTCCGGTAAAGATTAAAAAAAAAACAAAAAACCGTTGCCATCAAGTCGATTCCGACTCATAGTGACCCACAGGACAGAGTAGAACTGCCCCACAGGCGGAGGGGTAGCAAGTTGGGGGAGGGGCAAAGGGAGCACTTGCAAGTCCAAAGCGGAGCAAGATGGGGCACAAAATGACATTCCGAGGTGCCACAAATATGAAAGTTGCCCGACTGAGGCAGCCAGACAAGGGGAGGGGGGAAGGTATTAATGTTGAAGTTGAGGTGGGGCACAACTTAGAGATTGCCCCTGGGAGCTCATTGCCCGCGCTACGCCCCTGCCTATAGGGTTTCCAAGGCTGTAAACTTTACAGAAGCAGACTGCCACATATCCTTCTCCAACAGAGTGGCTGGTAGGTTCGAACCGTGAACCTTTCAGTAAGCAGTCAAGTGCTTTAACCACTCTGCCACCAGAGCTAAGGAAACCCTAAGGGAGTTGTTCTACCCTGTCACATGGGGTCGCTATGAGTTGGAATTGACTCAATGGCACCTAACAACAACAGTCATCACAGAAATGTTGAAAGGATTAAATGAAGTATTACAAATAAAATTCAAAAGTGCCTGGAATGAAGAGTAGTTAATAAAAGTCAGTATTATTATTATTAATAAACTGATCAAATGTCCTGCTATTCTTAAAATTGTACTTGATAATCTTTTTTGAGAGTAATTCTTCCCTCTTAATTCCTAGCACTTCTTCCCCCCGCCCCCAGCCCCAGCACTTCTTTTCAGAACATTTTTTCACAATGCTCTACATTATAGTTAATTGCTATGGTTTAGTTCTGGAATCCCTGGGTGGTGCAAACATTAAGTGCTCGGCTGCTAAGTGAAAGATGGGAGGTTCCCGTCCATCCAGAGGCACTTTGGAAGAAAGGCCTGGCAATCTACTTCTCAAAACTCAGTCATTGAAAACTCTATGAAGCACAGTTCTACTGGGAAACACATGAAGTTGCCATGAGTCAGAATCGACTGATAGCAACTAGTACTGATAGAGTTTAGTTATAGCCTTTGCTTTGCTGAGTCTGAAATCTCCTTAAGGTAGGGAAGTAATCTCAGTTATTTCTCTATTTCTCACAATAATATAAATATACAAACAAAAATAATTTCTATCACTAATACTCTGCATCTTAGTCCTCTTGGACATTAGCCTTATTGAAACTCCCAATTCTTCCTGTTATATAATTTCTTCTATCCATGTATTAATATCTTCTATAGTTCCACAGAAATATGTTTCAAAATCTTCAATTGTTTTCAAAATAAAGATCATTTTTCTTCCGTCCTTATTTTTGATATTTGTTTCT